AGGATGGTAAGAATGATAAAATAAATCAGGCAAATGGGATTTTCTCACTTTTAAGTCTCATGCTCGTTAAGGGCTTTCTTGGTTACTCAATTCTAATCTCTTGCTTTTTTAAAAGCTATTCAGGAGAGCCTGTTATTGGAATGATATACTAAACTGAAGGATTTCTTTAACAATATCTGGAAATTCTGTGTGTCTATGCTCTGGCTTGGTGTCCCATAGCCTGGAACGGGGTACAATTTTCCAAAACAATTTGATTGCATTAGTAGGCAAAGAATGTTTGGCCAATTGCTTGGAACTGGAGAGGGAACTGAAGTCTAGCTTTTCATCAGATTTTCAGGTCACCTCACTGACTTCTGGCCTTCACTTTCTTTGCTATCTGGCTTAGCTTCTTTCTCCATGGTAACCATCTATGGAGGCACCTAGGTTTGAAGTTACTCCTCTCTGCAAAACCACTCCCAACTTTTCATCCACATTTCAACCACTCCCAACATTTCATTGCCACATTCATATATTGTGTTTCAGGGTTAATTTCCTAAATCCATGGAGCATGTCGTTTGTGAGTTTATTATTATTTGAAGTTGACTTAAAAAAAAAAGAGCAGGTTACTTAAAAAAAAAAAATTGCTTTTGCTGTCTGCAAAAAGCTGCAGCTAGAACACGATTCTTACCCAAGCCAGGCCCACGCTAGGCTCCTTCATCATATTCTTTCTCATCCCTGCAGCGTTCCTATAAGACAAATATTATTTATCCATGTTTTATCCACATGTCTGAAACTCGGCAAATTTAAGAAGCAAGCCTAAGGTCATATTCCCAGCTTGTTAAATGTTAGAGACAGAATTATAAAACCAGATTTGCTGGGCCCCCAAACCAGCAAATGGCTTGGCACCAAGAGCTATAAAATTCTCTCAAATACAGTTCTTGTTTTTTAAAACAATCTGATACCTAGGTGCATAAGTAGGCAGTTATGTAATGGAATCCAGGGAGAGCTTAGGAAAATTTCTGTTGTGGCAGGAGTTTATCTACTGACTCACTTGGCTTTCGGTCCCTGCTAGTCCTCTAATTCTGTAGGCAGATTAAAAAAAAAAAAAAAAAAATCTTCTCTAGACTCCAGTGATCCAGTATGATGATGTTATCTTTATTTTTCAAGTTTAGTTTTTCCCCTCCCAAAGCTCACTATCACACCTTGCGGATGGGCTGTATTTCTGGCTGCCCCCACCTCCCCGCTTCTTTATTTAAAACTCCTGACAGTTCTCAGGGGCACCCAAGGGAAGCCTCCCCAGACTTTCTTAATTACCAGAGTCATCCTTTCTATGTAACAGCCATCTAATCGCAGCCTCTCTTGCCAAGAAATGAGAGAAACATTTGCATTTGGAAAAGCCAGCCCCAACACGTGACGCATGGTAAGAACCACTGCCTCCCAGAGTCCTCATAAGTGTTCCTCATCTTCGTTTGTTTTCCTTGAAGATAAAAATTGCACAGCAGTGTTTGTACTGAGATCTAACAAGTGCCCTGGCTTGCATGACAAGATTTCCTTTTGGCCGTCTCAACTTTGTTATACGTAAATAATGTTGTAAGTCATCCTTGAAATGGTATAACATGCAGCCAGTGTTTATTTTTTAGACTTTCTTGTATTTCATTATTTATTTAAAAGGCGATTTATGATTGGATGTTTAACATGCAGAATACTGCGTTCCCAGGAACTCTGAGGAAGGCAGGAGGTTGAACTGGAATCTTGCTCCTCTCTTGAGCAGAGAGCTGGGTCAGTGTGCAATTAAGAGAAAATCCGAAGGGGAAGTTCATTCTTTAGCCAGGCAGGTAAATGATACCTGCCCATCCAGAAAGTTCCATTTTCAGACAGAGCTCTGTAGCCTTTTAGAAGCATGTCAGATCATATCACCGTAGTTTAATTTCACAAAAAGCAAATGGCAGGTTGCTTCTGGTACCACTGTGTGGGCAATTTCAAGTCCTCAAAATGCTCAAGAGTCACAGTGCCCAAGTTCAACGTTGGGATGTGGAGAGTGTAAGGGTCGTATCCAGTTGTTATAAACTTTAAAATGCCTTTAAACATCTGACACTGTACCTTAGCTGCAGCTTTTAAATAGAAACGGGCAAATACAACCACATGCTTAAATGTGGTGTGAGATTTCAGAATCAAAAACATATGTGTTTCGTGCCTGAATTTTTCATGGATAACTTGAGTTTCTGACCATCTAGTGTGTTGCTCTTCCTCTTGGAGCTTTCTACAGGACAGCCCCAAGTAATACAGTAGGTAATAACTGGCTTTATAGAGCATTCATTAAAAATCTAGCAATTTTTGGTTGCTAGGAGCTTTTTTAAAAACCATGGAAAACTAGGCTGAGTTTGAGTCCCATGAATTGTAAAGGTAGATTCTCCACGTCTGTTGCAAATCATCAGCATCATTTATAACCCCCTTGGGCATGTAAGATTATATTTTAGTTGGAGATGTTAGGAAATTATGCCTAAATTCTGGACCTTGCCACATGTCATTAATATGAGTAAGTTGGATGGATACATATGCTGAAGAAAGATTCAGATAAATCTATACTGGAAGATGAGTATAGGCAGGCAAATGTATGGGTGGGGGAAGGGGAACCTTAACTGTTTCAGTCAACCGTGTTTTGAGAGCATCCCAAATGCCACTGTTTTCCTTTTGAAAACTCTTCTCTGCTTTTGAAGATCTCTCCCACAGCTGGGTTGCATGTGGGAAATGCTGCAGAGGGGAATGGAGTGGTGTAGCTGTACCCAATTGGACTGCAAAATTCTCCTGGAAAATATAATGCTTGTAAACTTCATTTTTCTTAAGATTTATAAATTATGGATTTAATTTTGTGTAGTAAGATTAAGTTTCTCCTATGAAAGGTAAGTCACCAGTTGATACAAATTGATTTGACCAATAATTATGCAAATTTGCAAAAGTAAAAAAAAAATGTTGATTTAAAAAGTCAGGAAAAATTAGATGTATTAAAAATTCTTAAATAGAAGTCCTAATGTAACCTGGTTGAGCATTCTGGCCATTTGTTGAAGGTGAGAACTGGCTTCACTATATCTGCAGACATACCTAATTTCCCAAATCAGTTGTTTGTGCATCTTTCTTCACTACACCATATATGTAGTATATTCATTCCAGTGGTCTGTATGCTGCATGCCAACTGCATGCCCAGCTGCTAGACTATATTTAACTGAGCTTCTTTTCCACCTAGACAGTGTGTCCAGACAAAAGTGAGACTGACATTGCTATAGCAGTAACCTTGCATCTGACTTCTATTACAAAGAAGCAGTTTTTTTAAATTTAGCTATTATGTCAACTCAAGGTAACTTGGGGTGTATTCTTGAGTTTTGAAGATGACTTGAATATGGTAACTCTGCCTCTGTGTGATGTTGGAAGTGGTGAAGGAAAGTTCACATGGACTCCATCTGGGAGAGACGGGAAGGGAAAGTAGCAGGAGCCATGGAGACGCACAGGGACGTTTGCTCCAGTTCCAGTGGAAATGTTGATGTTTTTCAGGTAAAATGTAGAAACTTGTAACCATATAGGTCCGTTTCCCCCTAGTTATGATTTTTATTGCATCTACATTATAAAGTTTGCAAGATATTATAATACTTCATAAAAATGAAGAGCAAAAATAATCTTCTACATATATCCAGATATCTACCACTTGTGATGTTCTGCAGTCCTTCCTGTAACTCATATCCCTCAAGTATAATTTGTTTGGCCTGAAGAACTTTCCTTAGCATTCCTTGTCTTGCAGATCTGGTAATGAATTCTTAGTTTCCTTTTATCTGAAATGTCTAGTTCATCTTCATTCTTAAAGGATATTTTCACTGGATATAAAGACAGGTTTGTCTTCTCAGCACTTAAATGCCATACCACTTTCTTCTGGCTACCAATACTTTCTTTTTTTAATGAGAAGCTCATTGTCATTAAAATTATACTTTCTCTGAATGATACATAATTCTCCCATCTTCAAAGTTTTGTTTTGAGCAGTATGACTATGATGTCCTTAGGGATTTTGTGTATGTGTTTATGAGAATGTGTTTAACCTATTGAGTATCTGCTAAACTTTAATTTGCAAATTTGTCTCAGACAAAATTTGGGAATTTTTCAGGTTTTTTTTTTTTTTTAAAGCACTTTGTTCCACTCCATTCACTGCTCTCCTTTTGGAATTCCAAACATAACCATTGGTTATGGTCATGTTAGACCTCCGATACTGGCCCCACATGACCCTGAGTCTACATTTATAAAAGATATCTAATTTTTTTTTTTTTGCTTGATATTGGATCATTTCCATCAATTTGCTTCCAAACTTACTAGTTCTTTCCTGGATCGTGTCTCCATTCTTCAACCTTATCAGATTTTTCCAAAAAAAATTTCAGATACATTTTACAGTTCCAGGAATTCCATATTCTTTTAATAGTTTCTCTTCTGAGATTTCCTGCTTTTTAAATTCATTATATTTTTATTTATGTCACTGAACATAGTTAATTAGTTTAATAGCTAGCTTAATGTCTGATCATTCCAATATGGTGGGTTTTCTGGGCGTTTGACTCACTGATAGTTTTCCCTTTTGAGAAGGTCACACATTGCACATGTGGTGGAGACCCTGCATCTTTGTGATCTTGTTCTTGGAGAGGATATTTTTCCTTTATTGTGCAATTTACTTGGTTAGATTAAAAGTGAAATCTCTAGCTCGTCATAGGTGGCAGCTCAAGTTGTCATCGTTCTTTTTATAGTGTAAGTACCTTGACATCTCAGCTCATTACTTCACAGCATTCAGAGGGTTGATTTCATGTGTTTTGTGTCAGATCCTGGGTCCTGTTCTGCAATATTTTTCTATTTAATTTTAAATGACTTAAAAGTATCCCATCTCTACTTTATTGCTTAGTTTTTCCTGGGCATAAGTTCTTTCACTCAAAAACAATTTTATTTTTAATGTCATAGTCACCATAATTAAAATGCCTTTTTGTTTGTTTATCTCTTAGGAAAAAGTGCTGCAAAGGGTATAAATTTGTTCTTGGACAGTGTATCCCAGAAGGTATGTAATGTAAAAGATGGCCTCATCTTTCTATTCATGACTAATCATTAGAAGTCTATGAAGTTCAGATGTGTATAGAATATTATCTGTCTGGTTATCTGTGTTTATGTATAATTCTTCCTTGGCATAAAATTCCTTGCTAATTTAGTCATATGTGACATGCTCTATCTAAATCATCACATGAGGTATTCATATACAGTGAGGGTTTTTTGAGATATCATTCTTAATAGGCTATAATTCCCTAATCAGCATTTCATAGACAAATTACAATCAACCCTCCTTGTTCCCTCTGCCTGGTTTTCATGTGCTAAACTTTAAGCCCCTTTGCATGACCATCAGGGGACGCTATCTAAATGCTCAGCCTAGCACTGCACACAGAGATGTTAAGATGAGCCCAGCTGTCAGGTGTGTACTGCAGAGACGGGAGGCAGATCATATGGAATCAGACCTGGATTCTAACTGAGCTTCCACGTCCTGCTCAGTATGACCTTGGGAAAGTTAATTTTCTAACCCTTAAGTTTTTACAGGCAGGTATTGGTACTAGGGTCATACGGACGTTTAAACTTTGCCTCATGTAAAGTACTTGGAACAGGAGGCCAGTTCTTAAGCACTCAGTAAGTGGTGGCTGCTGCTGTCACTATTAATAGATGCAGTGTGTGCCTTAGAGACAATTGAGTGCAGCAGCTGTTCAAAGGTAACACACAACATGGAAGACCAGGTGGACTCGCGGGGATACTTAAGCGGGGTTATCAAGGAAGGCTGCCCAGGTCTTAGCCAGGTAGTTGGAGTGGTGAAGAGGATTCCAGTCTAGCAGGGACATAGAAAGCACCAGGGACTGTCGGAAGAGGGCATTTGGTTTGGTTTTGCAGGACTTGGGGGTTGAACCCAGGGCCTGGCACCTGCTAAATAAGCACTCTATCACTGAGCTTCATCCCCGGCCCATCAGAGACTGAAAAGCCTGGGGTTAATTTGCGCAGTCTGGGATGGAGCACGTGAAAGAGCTTTCTTCACTACTGCCCAGGAAGCCAGGTGTCTCTGGAGGGAGGATGTGGAGCCCAGCCAAGCTAATTCTGTTGCGTTGTCTCACGGAGTACAATGTCTTCATCAGTTGGAAATAGATGAATCCCTCCTGTGTGTTGCTGTCTTTGGTAGAAGGATGGAAGAGTTCATTAAATCATGACTGACCTTTGAGAAAGCTGCCATGGACAGCTGCTTCGGAAAGTATTTCACATAACATTGTTGAGGCCTGAGGTCTCTCTAAGCCGAATCTCTCTCTGCAAGCCAGTTCTATTGATCAGAGCCTGGCAGGAAAAAAAAAACCCATGAAAATTAGAATTGCTTTTCTTTATGAGCCAGCTCTTCTCAGTCAACAGCTGTGTCCTTTATAATGCAGTTTGGCAGATTCCAAAGAAAATTAAGTTGAGGCCAATTTAAGATCCTAACTAAAGAAAGACCTTGCTCAGTGTTACTGAAAAATACATCCTATGGATACCCCATACTTAGTTTCTTTAAATGTTAGATATTGTGGTTTCAAATGCCTAGGCTTTCTCCCCTTAAAATGAGAGCACAGCACCTGTGACTAGTGTAACCAAGGGCTGAATATTTCCAGGGAAAGTGGACTCTGCTGCCAAAGGTCCCTCTGCCATGATTTCTGCTCTTACTTCTCACCAGAATACATTTTCAAGTTGATTTGTTTTAATCAGTGGGAATAGATTAGTGATTGTTTCCTTGACTAAAGATACATTTAGTCATAAGGGATTCTATCACCCACAAATGCAAAGTACAAATGTAGAATTCCAGTTAAAGGCTGTATTTTAGGCACCTGGAGTTGTAGCTCAGGGGTAGAGTGCTTGCCTAGCACATACAAAGGCCCTGGGTTCAATCCTCAGTACTAGAAGAAAAAAAGATTGCATGTTAGTGTTCTCCAGAGACCAAAAAAAAAAAAAAAAAACAATAGGCTATGTGTGTGGGTGTGTGTGTAGTGGGGAGACAGATTTTGATTGAGATTTATAAGATCAGTTCATGAGATTATGGAGGTACAAGCCCAGAATCTTCAGGGTAAGCCAAAGGCAGTCTCCTGGCAGAATTCCCTTTTTATCAAAGCAGGTCTATGTGTTTTTCTACTAATCCTTCAACTGACCAGATGAGGCCCACCCCAGGCGGGAGGGTAATCTGCTTTACTCAAAGTCTGTTAATCTCATCTAAATACCTACACAGAAATGTGTAGATCAAATAATCTTAGAATAATGTGAGATCAAATATCTGAGTACTTTGTCCTAGTTGAATTGATATATAAAATTACCCATCACAGTCTACCCCTTTTCAACTTGGCACCCATACACATTTAATCTCCTGAACTTAATCTCCAAATGGAAACAATCATAAGGCCATACCTCCACCTGATGCAATGCTGCTACCCCCATGTTAAAATGCACGGACACCTTCCCCAGAAAAGGATGCAAAGTAATATTTATTTTTCTCCTCCATATGCTATAATTTAAATGCTGTCATGTTAAAGTTCACCATATTTCAATGCTGTGATATAAGTTAATACATCTTATTGATACACAATGTGATAAGAAAAAGATATTTGCACATATACACACATATTCTAGAATATAAATGCTCATGACAATCATGGCCCTTGTTTCTGAAACTGGTCACATGGTCATAGCTGCTATTCATAACTTCTTTCTTCCACTAATTTTTTTCCCTTTGCCTCCAATAAGCTCCTCACCTGGTCATGTTTATTTTTTGTGGTGTTTTTGTTGTTAACCTGGTGAGGTATTCTACCTCTTTCTTCCTGAGACGTTCATCTAGCCTGAACTGGGTGGTGGTTTTCCATCAACTGTAATTGCAGGACAGAGTAACCCAGAGACACCTTAAGATATTCCTTATATGCAGACACTCCTTTGCTGAGGAGTAACCGTCCAGCTTCCCCTTGTTAGACTGTCACTGGGCCAACGCAGTGACTTCCTCCCTTGCAGGCCTATGAGGCATGAGGACCCCAGTGTCCAGATGGCAAACCTATGGAAGCATTTTTTTCTCCTCCCACAATCATCCTCCATTTGAAACTAACAGCATAAAGTCACAGGAATGGGAATCAGAAATTCTGCTAGTAGAACTGTATGTCTTGTTGTGAACATCTAGTCCCAGCTACTGGGAGGCTAAAGTGGGGAGATCATTTGAGACCCTGCCTGAGCAATAGCTCTATCCCCCAAATGAAAAGGTCTCCTCTAATAGATCATGGAGATGAAACTGGGTAACCAAGAGGGATGCCACTCTCGTTTCCACCCCTTGATTCCTCATCCTATGAATGAATACTGGTCAAGGGAGAAACCACACCATATATTGGGTACTAATTCACAGCATGCACACTCTCTTGGTGGACTTTGGACCAGATGTATAGGTAGCATGGCCTGGCCAAGTTAACTAATGAAATTAACCATCCCAGTTAGCAAAAAGAAACTAGTGTGTCTAAACAGATGTGTTAACTGATGAGTGGAAGTTAGTTTTTTAAAGTGTTGCTGGCTCATTTATTGCTGAGTCGTGGGCAGTGACCTGTGTGGCCTGTGGAGCAAATCTGGTCCATTCCCTGCCTCTAGAAATAAAGCTTCATTGAAATGGGGCCATATACCTATTCACCAAAGTAGTACTTACTTACGGCTGCTTTTGCATGACAGCAGTGGAGCTGAATAGTTGCAAGGGAGGTCTGCAAAGACAGGATCTGGTGCCCCTACACCCGTCATTGTTATCTTGGCCATGTGATAGGATGATCCGATTTGTTTAGCTCAGCAGTTATGAACTGAGCATACAACATGGGGAAGAAATCCCGGCCGTTACTCTGGGGGGCATAGTCCCTCCCATGAAGGCAAACAGTGATGGGAACCAGCAGCAGAAAAGCAGGTAGAGCTTTCCCTGTGTGTCAGGCACTGTGCTTGACGTGTCATCTGGTTTCATATCCACAGGAGTGAAGTGGGTGTTGGTATTATCGGTATTTTACAGGTGAGGAAACTGAGCCTTAAAGAAACTGAGATCACAGAGTGGCCAAGTTGGGAGGGCGGGTACCTGATCATTGTCAGAGCTCGTGAGCGGAAGATGGTCAGAGTTCCATGGCCTTGAGAGGAGACAAAATAGACTCGATGAAGGAGATCAGGGAAGGCTTTTGCAGTGAAGATAGAAAACCACAGTTACAAGGCACTGAGAGTGAAGGTGTCAGGTTGGACGTTAATTACTAAGGTGAAGTGACAGAAGTATGTAAGAAAGGTGTGACTGGGACCAAGGACAAAAGTGAAGAGAAGCTCAAAGGTAAATCTTAATGTTGGAGAAATCTCAAGGAATTTAGTGCCCAACCTCAAATGCGAGAGTGACCCACCCTTGCTTCATTAGTACAAACTTGAGGATCATTATCTGAAGTGCTTAGGACCAACCAGAAGTGTTTTAGGTTTCAGAGTTTCTTGAAATTTGGAATATTTGTGTAGACTTCACTGGTTGATCATTCCTGATCCAGAAATCTGAAATACTTCAAAATCTAAGACATGGTGCTTGAAATTCTTGAGATTTCCAATGTTCAGATTGTCAGAGATGCCCGGCCTATTTAGAACTAGTAGGCTGTCTGAGCGCTGTGTGTTGGTCAGGTAGCCTAGCGGCAGTTGTGCAGAATGGATTTAAAGGAGAAGGTTCTTGGGAGTAGGATCCTGTTTACATAGACTATGAAGATCTGAAATGGGAGCCAAGAGAAATACCACAGAGTATAGAAAATGTGTAAATTTTAAAGATAAAAGCCACTTGACGAAGTTGATAGGCTCTAAAAAACAAGTTTTCAAAAACAAAGGACAGAATAAATTTCTTAGCCTTGCCTCTCCCACAGAAACTCCACAAAATTGGCGGGGGGGGGGGGGGGGGGGGGGGGGGGGGCGGGAAGCAAAAGACATACACCCACAAGATTAAGGAGAAAGGAAGAAGAGATAACAGCAACAACATTTTAGAAGCTGGAGAACAGACAAGATAGTAAATAATTCAGCAAAATGAAAAGCCTGAGCCCTCAGGCAGCACCAGGGAAAACTAAGGAGCCAACAGTTCATACCGACACTAATGACGATCAAAACTGAAAACAAGGGTTGAAGTGGTGCCAAAACAGGTTAGATTTAAAAGTCTGAAAAGTCAGACTATGATGTGCCCTCCATGCAACCAAAATTATCGCCCCTTTTATACCCAGGCAGGAAACCAAAGTACCCTCTTCTAAGAGGGTAAAGCAGAGGTATTGAGGCTGGCTGGGGAGGACCAGTCAGATGCAAGTAAGAACTCAACATTGAACGTGGAGGCATTAAGAAAATGCGTACACATTGAAGATTTAAACACCCACCCTCTCCCTTCATAGTTCAAAAAGGACTTACTCTCGGATAGGGATTTGGACACGCTGCCTCTGGACATCGAGCAGACACAGGAAAGCTCTAGAAACTGATGCTGGAAGGCACCGGTCGAGTCACTTAAGCTGAAGCTTGGGATTTATAAAAACCCCATGTGCAAAGAGCTGCTGTTGAGCTATTTTTAATACTCCACAAGTAAACTAGGACAACACCCAAGGAGCACCAGATGTTGGAGGAAAGCCTTCAAAAAGATTTAACATAAGGGAAAGTCTGAGAGAAAGCATGAGCTACCCGGACAGAGGGAGACTTGGAATTAATTCACTTAGACTTCAGGAACGATACAGAACGCATCAAACAAAAACAGGGTGTCAATAAAAAGGAACAGAATGAAGAATTCTTAGAAATCAAAAAACATGACACATAGAAAATATCAAAAGGGTTGAAAGGTGAAATTAAGGAGATTACCCAAGACCTAGAGCAGAAGATCAAAGAAATGAAAAGTAGAAAAATGAGGAACAGTCCAGGGAACACAACCTCAAGATAATTAAGTTACACAGAGAAAAGGAGTTGTCATTAAAGACGGAATTCAAGGAAATTCTCCAGAATTTTCTAGATAGAAAGGGCCCATCAAAGAATAACAAAGCCCCACGTGAAAACCTCATTGTGAAATTGTAATACAATGGAAACAAAATTAAAATTTCAGAGGGGGAAGAAGTGAAATTCATATGAAAAATTTAGTAGTAGAATCTCATAGGACTCAGCTGCAGTGAGCCTGAATTAGAAAACGATGGAGCGATGTCTGCATACTGTGGAGGTAAACTTCTCTTACGGTTTTATGCCCAAACTATCAATCACTAAAATATATTTTTAGACATGCATAAGCATAAAACTTTTACCTATTTTGTGACTTTTCTCAGGAAGCTACTGGAGTATATGCTCCAATACAACTAGAGCATAAACCAGAAAAGAGGAAGATGAGGGAGGAGAGGGAAGCATAGGGTCAAAAGAGTGTGGATGGAATCCCCAAGATGATAGGGAATGGACACACCAAGAAGCAGCCACAGAGATTTCTGCTGGGAGAAAGCACAGAATGTTCTAGAAGAAACTTCCTCAATCAGAAATGGGCAAATACTTAAACATCTGAAGAGATTTAAAAATTTCAGGAAGTCCCTAGAAATGAATCATAACTGTCATCCACATGCTCCATTATATATCAGAGAACATTTGATAGAAAGAACCAAAGACTAGACATTGAGAACTGAAAAGTCAAAAGGAAAACTCTCCCAGAAGTAACAACCATGTACAGTAGCTCCCACTTCTAAGCTAGGGGAGCGAAGAGAGGCAGGAGACCCATTAAGACATAGAAGCTCGGAGGAGGTGCCATTGGGCTAGGACCCAGGCCTTGGAGGCACTGGGCAGCCAGTGCTGTTTCTCTGAACTCAGTTTGTGGCTCATGGATCTGGGAACCCCACTTGGGGGAAGGAGCACCAGATCACTGGTGCGGGTGCCCCTAAGATGTTTGTGGGGAGGCTGCTTCTCTAAGTGTTAGAAACTGCAAACTGGCATTTACTGCTACTATCCAAAGGGTCTGGATGGAGTTGGGTAGGACTGGGATAAGGCTCAGGAACAAGCACAGGCAGAAAGGTGCAGAGCCCCTCTTCCAGCCTCCATGTGTTTGTGTGGGTCTCTCTCTGTACCTACACCTCCCCAAAGCACCCCTTATTGAAAGCACCCAACAGGCTGGAGAATTTGTCTCCAGAGCCTCATGTCACCAAGTAGCTGTTGGAAGAAGGTGGAGCAGACTTGAAACTACATGAGCTCAATAACTGGGACCCCCAAAAACACACAAGGCACTTCCCTTAAGGACATCAGACAGTTCCCCAGGGAAGGGCAGTTCAGTGGAGTGTACCTCCTGGCTCTGCCCAGAGAGCTTTTATATCGTCACTCCAGGGCAAATGCTGGAGATTGACCAAACTAAAATTTCAACAAAACCCATTGACCAGATGGAAGGAACCAGAAGTGCAATAAAAATGCTAAGTGTATCTCGTGACTGGAAGTTAATAAGGAACCTTTAAAGTAAAAGCAACATTTAAAATAAAGGAAGCAATGCAAATTGAATATTTGGAGTTACGGGGGTGAACATGAAAACAGCTGGAAGAGTTTAAGTGGCACCTAAGAAGCCAAGCAGAGTGGGAACGGCTGCTTCTGAAAGCAAGACCTCATTGGGCACCACAGCCAACCAGTGCCTTAGAGGGCCCCTCTGCCTCCTGCCTCCTCCCTGGCTGATCCAGTAATGGTGACAGCCGGCAGGACAGGGCAGCTCATTACCGGTCACACTGAGACTTGACTTTTGAGCAAAAGAAACACAGAACTTTGGTTGCCTGGAGGTGATGCTTGGTTGAGGAAAAGTTAGCCAGATGGTTTGTAGGCTTGGTCAGAACCCAGGCTGGCAAAGCAGACCTGGAGTCCCACTTGTGGGAAGTATCGTCCAACAAGGGCAGCTTACCAGGTCATCACCAGAATGGCATGATCTTTGTCAAAGTTGACCCTGTCTGCATCAGAGACGGCTCACTTCTTTCCCTTCACATACAGGAGAGCAGACCCAGGTTCACCTGTGTCTCAGGAGGGTCCATCTGGGACTAGTACATGGAGATGACAGTGACGAGATGCTGGAACTGATCTGAGAATATGTCAAAACTGAGCGATTTAGAGCCAGAAGCCCTTCAGAAGCTCATTAAATATCAGTTCATAAAAATGGAGAGTAGCAGATGCCCCAATTCCTAACACATTATTGGGCATTCACCCTCATATGCACAGGCATAGGGCCAGCAAGAGATCTGCAGCCATTCAGTCTCACCCACCCCCCTCTCACATGCAGAATCTCTATACACACACACCATCGTGTGCACACCTACCACACTCACTTGTGCGAGCATAGGCTCTCTGAAGACTCTCACATATCTATTCCAAAAGCTGCCCTCATTTTTCTGAGTCTGCCAGCCAGCCCTTCCTCTTACATTTGGGCACCAAAGCCCATCAATGCCCTGCTGGAAGGACTTCCCTGTTCCTATAGCAGTTGAAGATCAAAGAGGCCCCCAGGAACTGCTCCAGAGCCTGGCTGACTAAAGCATCTTTGCTTCTGGATAGTGACCAAGACCCAGGGGCACAACGAGGCAACTTCAGAGAAGAGCATGAGTGGTGTTTGCCTTCTGCCACCACAGTGCTCTCAGAAGCTGTACCACAGCCTCCAGGGCTAATGCCCCTGTAGGTGTGGCTGCTCACAGGTCACGCCTGCAGAATGCAGCCCGGAAGGCGAGCTCCAGGCCAGGCTGCCCTGTCTACCCCTGCAGCTGACGTGAGTGCATACTTTTTCTCTTTCAGATTATGATGTTTGTGCCCAGGCTCCCTGTGAACAGCAGTGTACAGACAACTTCGGCCGCGTGCTGTGCACCTGTTATCCAGGATACCAATATGACCGCGAGAGACACCGGAAGCGGGAGAAGCCCTACTGCCTGGGTGCGTTGGCAATGCGTGTTATTTTCCAGCTCCAAACTGGCAGTGAGATGTAAAAGCCAAAGACGGGGAACCAGGCCAGATGTAATAGAATAATGCAAAACAGGAAATGAGTGGTCTGGAATGTAAACCAGAGAAGCAAGAATGAGTGTTCTCAAGAGGTGACTGGGGAAATGGAGGTGTGCGTGTGGCAGGAGGTTAGAGGCAAACTTGGCTGCAGCTGAGCAGTTGCCTGGCCATCACCAGGGGCACCAGCTTGCTCTGGTCGTTCTCCTTGACTGGGCATTCTTAGTGCCCTCCTTGAATTCCTGGGGAGGTTTAGGGCTCATGGTCTGGAACTGTGTGTCTGACTGTGGCAAGCCCATGACTAACCTGTCTCCTCAACTGGGGTCCCTGCTTGAAAGGTTCCTGGCCCCTCCTCCAGACATAGTGAGCCACAACTTTGAGGGTGGGTCCAGGGACATGCATTTACATGAGGGAGTACTATGCTCAGTGAAGTTTCAGATCAACTGGAAGAAGAGTAGAGACCTCAGATGGACCCAGGTGGGAAATAAGCCATTTGATATGAGCAAGGCTCCCTCCTCCATTGGGCACCTGGGAAAGTCTAGCCTTAGGTCCCCTAGTTTCTCCAAAAAGCATCTGGGAAAGGTACCCCAAACCAACAAGCAAATGGAGGAGGGTAGGAGGGACTCGGGGTGCCTCTTACAGAGCGCATGGGACACTCCACATAGCTCAGGGCTGGGCCCATGGGCTCTCCTTTCAGTTGATGGGAGCTACGTGCCCTAATTCTTTTTCTGTAGACATTTGGGGATCAGCAGTACTTTGCATTCTACTAAGTGTCCTCTGTGGCCAGTACAACCGCTTCACTCTGACATTTAGGGTGGGAACACCTGGAGAAAAAGGCAGTCAGCCTGAAGAACTGCAGAGGCGCCTCCAACCGTCGCCTCCATCCAGGCTACATATGACAACAGTGTATACTGCAGAGGAGCACCCGAATTACTGTGCTCGCTCTTGGCACCCAGGGAGCCTGCCAGAGCTGAGTCCCTGGCTGCTTGTCCAGGCTAAAAAATTACCGGCATCCTAAAGTTCAAGGCTGGGCTCTGTCTGCCCACATGTCACGGTCAGGGGCTGTGTGTCCTGGTTCCCACCTACTGCTACGGGGTGTCTTTAGCCAGTGAACAGGAAATGGAATTGAGCCCGTCTTCTCATGGTGGGAAACGTGTTGTTTCTTCCCAGTGCAGCAGGGGCGCAAGCCCCATGGTGTGGGCAATTGACGCGGACCCTCCGCGGTTACTCATTTGATGGTCTCATGCCTCATTTCCTCAGCTCAAGGGGGTCTGCTTGGGTCATTGATGAGGCAGAGATTTCCTAGGGAAGCCTCTCTCCATTAGACATCTGTGACTATTTTGTCATAAGTATCTTTTCCCGAGTATATTGTGTTCCTTAACTGGGAAGGGGCTATTCCTAAGTGGCCCTTGTGTCACATGTAGAATTCCAGCCATAAAGGAGAACTTTAAAAACCTCAGCACACTAGACTGCTTGCAAAAAATCACTTAGCTAATGTCTGCTCATCAGGGAGTGTTGGCCCCAGTGCTCTCCTGAGGAGCCCTGGGAAGTATTTAGGGACAGGCTTCATTATCATCATTTCCCAGGTGAACTCTCTAAAGGCCAGCCGTACCTCCATTGGGTCCTGTGACGGCCAGGAACCCATCATTGGTTGGTCTGTAATGATAGTCACATGGCTAAAGTGCCGCTTCCACAGACGGCCCATCCTCCCAGCGCCCAACCTCATGCCAGGCTCTGTCTGGTCAAGGTCTGGAATAGTGTCCTTGGCACAGGTATTATGAGGGACAAGTCTCGTGCCATCTGTGGCATAAGTGACTTCTCAGAAACTGAGCGTTTTCTGCATTTGGTTCACACCAGACATCGACGAGTGTGCCACCAGCAACAAGACGCTGTGCGACCACATCTGTGTCAACACTGTGGGCAGCTACCGCTGTGAGTGCCGGGAGGGCTATGTCCTTGAGGGCGACGGGAAGACATGCACCAGGGGGGACAAGTACCCCAACGACACTGGTGAGTGAGGCATGGAGTTTCCCTCTGTGCATATTTTTATATTACACGTTGTCAGTTTGGGGACTTTCAGATGATTATTGTATTATTTGTGTAATGTTTATATTTTAAACATATTGCCTATTACACATGTATCTCATGTTCCCACCCACTGCTACCCAGTGTCTCCAGCCAGTGGACCTTTTATAGAATATATTTGTCTATTTTCCTTTATATATAATGTAATATGCATTATTTATATAATATGTTACAGGTGTTACTGTAGCCATAGATATCTCATTTATATAAGATTCTCAAGTACCTATATCATACAAAACATGTACAACATAGTCAATATTATATAGTTGTATTTTAGGTAATATGTAGTATCTTCATGTTGTATATAGTGAGCCATAACATAATCTATGTAATATGCTTTTAATACGTATCATGTGTAACAATTATACACAGGCACTTGGGAGCCCAACCAGGTTCCTTGGAACAGGGCAGGAAGGGACATTTACATGGACCCCGGTGGCACCTGGGGTCTGAGGACATATGTTCAGACTCTTCCTAGAGAGGAGGAATTAAGGGAGCAGTGATGCTTATTAGCATGGAGGAGGTAGCTGGTGTGTTGGAGGAGGGTGGTGCGCTCATGAAGAAATCAGCAGTGCTTGATTCTTTGTATTAAGAGCGAACAAGAATGAGCAGAGACGAGACCAGAAGGTCTGTATTCTCCCCAAGGAAACAGACTGAAATATAAATATAAATCGCTTTCACATGAGGTACCACTCTACACCAGTGTCACTCAAAGCATGATCCATGCCCGGTGCCTGTCCACAAACTATTTGTTCTTTGAGTCATGATTGGATAGAAATAGAAATTGAGTGTTTAGAAAACTCTATTGGAAAGGAATTTCATTTGAATCCAAGCATTTGTTTGTGTTACATTATAGCTGATTTTTTTAATATATTTTTAGTTGTAGGTGGACACAATACCTTTATTTTTATGTAGTGCTGATGATCGAACCCAGTGCCTCACACGTACTAGGCAAGTGCTCTATCACTGAGCCACAACCCCAGCCCTATATCCAATTTCAAGCAATTCATTTTGCAAAATTATCAGTTCACGATCAGAAAAATCTCTAACAGCTGGTTGTCCAACACAGTTAAGAAGTTGATTTACATACAGCTACATAGTACCGACTACATTGTACATGTTTTGTATGATGATAATATAGGTACCTCAACTGAGATGTTCCATCACCTAGGCATAAGATCAGCCTGGTCTGTTGGGTTATATCTTTATTTAAGTTTGGAGGAAAAAATAAGAAAGAGGAGAAGGGAAAAGAGCCCCCAAAGCTGCTGTGGGTGCTTCAGGGAATGCCTTGGTGGGCAAAATATCATCGCATTCACATCTAAACTCTGGGATCTCTGCCAAATTACAAGTGCCCGTCGTTAGAGTTTAGGATTTCAGCCTGTATGGAGGAGTGTCCCGGGTCTTCCAGTCAGGATGAACTTTAAAGCAAACTGTTCTCCACTGACCACGGTTGACTGGACAGGTTCCCTGTGGAGAAAGTCCAGGGTCACTCAGAGGGCCCGGGGCCGGACCTCCCTGGGCTCAGGGCTCGGCTCCTGTCTACTTCCCTGGGAAAGAGAAAGTTGCTGGGGTGCTGTTGAGGGGGTTAGCTGGGCCTGGGCCATCCCTGGGAGGGGCACAGGTGCCCTGGGCAGGTCACGTGGATGAAGAAATGAGGGACATCAAAAAGCCACAACCATCCGGGGGCTCATGAGAGCCCAGCTTCAGAAAGGGGTGGGAAGACAGACAGCTGGGGACCAGCTGCCTCCCGAGGAAAATCTACAAAGCGAAATGAAATGCAGAGGAGCAACTGGGTTGAGTCATGAGGAAGCCGCCACGTGTTGGAAATCGATGAAAAAAGCTATTTGGAGCCACCTTGGCTCTGGGCAATTGGGAATCATGTAAATGAGCATGGCCCTCAAGCAAGGGCAGACAGGTTAATGAAGTTAAAAACATTTATAGACTGTTCTTGTATTCAAAATTAAAATCGCTGCAATTTGTGGTAGGAGGAGCAGGGATGTGTGACTTGACTATAAATTATGTCCTTTATTGGGAAGAATCTCATGGGAAAATGGGGTGCAGCTTTTTATCCACTGTAATGTGTGGACCTTGTAGAGAATAGGTCACAAGAAAGCAGCTTTGCAATTTTTCATTTTAGAATTGGGTTTCCAGCTGTGCTCTGAGCCAGGCAGCTCTTGAGCTGTTGGGCTGCAGGCTGCTCAACCTGGCAAGTGTATTGTCTCTGCCTCACATTTCTATGTAGAAAGAATCCGCTTTATAGGGGCATGAAGGAAGCCTGCAGCAACCCGACCAGACACAGAACAACAGACACTTGCTGCCGAGTGTCAGGGCAGGAGTCCATGATCTGGCTGTAAAAGTAATAGGATCTCCCCTCTATGAGGAGTCCCAGTCTGGTGGGATGGAGTGGTCGGCAGTAAGATGGACCACAATTAGCTGGGACCAGAGTCCAGGTGGGAGTTAGACAACAGGTAATATTTTATAAGCCGAGTTGAGTTGCTTTTGGTCTTGGGTGACGTCGACCTCCTGCAGTAACTTCTCACCTCCTGCAGCTACATTGCCCTTCAGTCCGAAGGGATGGCTCTGGGTCAGAGTGCAGTGACGAGGTCAGCCTTGGTGAGAGGTGCTCACCTGGGCCCCCACCTTCAGCAAGGGTGGGGCCATCTCATGACATCTTTGAAATTAGTCATTACTGTATTGAGTCACTACTGGGGCTTCACTAACCTGGTTGATTCCCTGTCAAGGATGGTGATCTTCTTATAAAAGTTTGCAAATAAGAGTTTCAAAACAAGTCAGTTTTATTTGAGTGACAACCAGTTTGACTTCCATGGCTGAAATGAGTGAAAAGTCTGAGTAGCAGTATTAAGAAATGTATATAGCCAGCATGGTGACACATGCCTGTAATGCCAGCAGCCTGGGAGGCTGAGGCAGGAGGATCACAAGTTCAAAGCCAGCCTCAGCAACAGTGAAGTGCTAAGCAACTCGGTGAGACCCTGTCTCTAAATAAAATACAAAATAGGGCTGGGGATGTGGCTCAGCGGTTGAGTGCCCCTAAATTCAATCCCCAGTACCTGCCCTCCAAAAAAAGAAACACATATTTGCAACTTTTTTCCCATCTTCCTTGGTTTTTAAAGATGTATTTTATCTCAATAATACGTTGCAGCATTCCCCCATATTGTGTTCAGACTCGGGGGTCCTGTGTAGTGGTGTGAAGCCTTTCTTCAGGTCTTATGCTCGGATGTTTGGGAAAGCATGTACTACTCCATCCACTCACAATTCAAATTCAAAGTTAATTTCGATTAAAACTACATTCTGCAAAATTATTTAAGAAATCTTAATGTCTCACAGGTAGTGATGTCCTAAGAAACATGGTTTGGGAAACATTTAATGTCAGAAATCTTGGCTATGGGGCCAAACTTGATAGGCCATCTGGTGGACTCTCAGCCAAGGGTGGGTGTTACCAACACATGGAGCAGCCCAAGTCCAGGGGGGAGGTGACTTATTGTGGAGTGTCCAGCATCAGTGAGTGAGAACAGCACAGCGCTGCTTCATTCCACCATGTGGAGAGACACTGGGTTCCTCTTCCAGTGCTGTAAATGGAAAATGTTCTCATGCTTAATCTTGTAAGAATTGTCTGGTGGTTCAGCCGTTGGGCCTTATTTTAACACAAAGCTTATCAGAGATTAGAGCAGGGACTCTTCCCCTTCTCTTCCCCCACTCCTCATCCAAATATAGCAACTTCAAATAATTAGAACAAAAGCAAAAGCCCCTGTTAGGATGCCACCATCTGCTACATCACACTTCCCCAGCAGCAGCCTTACGAAGCAATCTCTCAGTATTCAATTTGCAGTAATTAATCCCCATTGAACTCACCACAAACACATAGAAAACTAGCATACAGTCTTATACTGTGCTAAGAGAAGCATTCCAACACCAGTGGCCAGGAGTCTTTGGGGTGGGGACTGATGAGTCATTCCTATGTAGTTAAGTAATAACCAAGGATTACAACAGGTACATTGTGTGCCCTGAATGTTCCAGTCCTGACTCGAGTGGTTGGGCCAGTGAGGACCTGGGGCTGGCACTAATGGGTTCCCGCAGAAGGAAGGAAAAGTGCCCTAAAGTCATCACATTGGACAGCTGTGGAGCCAGGGGACGTTCCTTGACGTGGAAGTTAGGGGAGAGAGTAACAGGGCTGGTTCAGTCTTCACTAGTTGAATGAGGCTGGCAGTCTCGGAGCCTTGGTTTGCTCATTTGTAGATGGGTGTGTTGAATTCCGTGAGTCCTGAGGACCTTTCACCCTCTTAAATCTTCAAAACTGGTTGTCATATGGTGTAAGTAGTAGTAGCCCCTACCAACTCGGGGAGTCCCTGGCAGTCTTCATTCCTTGGTCCTCTGAACAAGTACTGATGCTTGAAAACCTGCCCACCTTCAATGCCTTTTAAGCAGAGAACTTTCCTTTCAGTATCTTAGAAGATGAGCGACTGTGGGCTGGGGTTGTGGCTCAGTGGTAGAGTACTCGCCTAGCATGGGTGAGGCACTGGTTTCGATCCTCAGCAACACATAAAGATAAATAAAGGTATTGTGTCCATCTACAACTTAAAAATATTTTTTAAAAAGATGAGGAACTGAACATGCAAACATTCATCTCAGCAGTAAGAAATGTTACGGGTCCAAAGAGCCGTACCTCCTGGAAGAGCAGAGGCAGCTAAGCAGTTTCATCTGCTCTGGACTAATAAGCCCCGGCATTTCATCACCTTTTTTGATAAAGAGAATGTTGTGTTTAAACACATTGGGTCTAAAGTCGCCTCTCCTTCCTCCCGTTTTAACTTTGTTGTCCAGTGTCTGTAATGTTAGTCAAGAATTCAAAATCAAACAGGCAGAAAGTAGAAGGGAACATGGCCCTCATATGGCCTCTGATGATTGAAAGGTTGTCACAGGCTTGGTGACACAAGCCATCTGGCTGACAGGCATTCAATCACTTTGATTTTTCTCTTTGAAAATCCTGAGCTGGAGCCAGTTTAGTCACCCCAGGGAGTCAGTGTAGCACCATTTGGGAGACAAATTAAGGAAATGTTGGCTCCGTAGTAATTAGGTTACTAGTCTTTATTTTTCAGCTTTTGTTTATTTTCTGATAACATAACCATGACCTTCGGCGTCACTTATTAAAGTTCAAAGTGTCAGAGACAGCCAGGTGTTTCATGTAACTTTCAAGCTCTGCTAATCCATAGATGAGTGGTTCTCGGCCTTGGAATCACCTGGGGAGCATTAAAACACTGATGCTGTTGTTTTGCTACCACTCCAGGTGGTTGGGGTGCCCGGATTCTGCAGGATTTTTTCACCCCACACCCAGGTGACTGTAATGTACTGCCAGGGCTGGGCACTACCACCGTAACACAGAGGGGCACAACTTACAAATGAATGTGCTTTGTTCACTTGTGGCACTGCCCACTTGGAAGATTCTGGGAATATTCTTTGGCTTTCCGAGATGTATTGGGTATTGCTACTATCATTTGTGAGGCATTATATTTCTAATGCTCAGGGTGTACAACCTGCTCAATGAGGGTAAAATTTAGAGCTCTGCGCCCCCGTGTGGTTGATCCATTATATCGCTCCTTTAAAATATGAAGAACTTGGAGCAAAATTTAATGGCAGAAGCCCTTTCTCTGAGACGCATGACTACATCACTGAGAGGACTGAAAACATACAGGAAGAGGATATCACAGGCTATCAAGGGCCCTACCACATGTTCTCTAACTTGATAGGGAAACAATAAAACCAACAGCAAGGGTACATTTGGGGCACCTGTGGGCAAGGCAGTGTTCTGTTTCCTACGTGTCCGATCTCATTGACGTCTCATGTCAGCCCCAGACAACAGGTGCTATTGCCATTCTACCACTCAGGGAACAGAGTCCAGAGACGCTGACTTACCTAACCTAAAAGGTACTCAGTTACAGCACTAAGATTTGAATCTTGTCCAAGTCGGCCAGCCCCTACACCACTCGCCCCTGTGCTTCAATGTCAATAGGAGTTTTGAGTCTTTTGGATAAATGTTAATCTTGATTCTCCATCTTCTGGTAATTCTACAAAGGAAGAGAAAACGGCCCAGGCCTTTCCATGGAAAAGATTGCCCAGCAGAGCTTCCTCGGTGGAACCTGCCTGGCAGATAGCTCCCAAGTGTTTTCAGTGGAACTTCTAGTAGCAGTCTTGCTTCATGCCCGCCTCACCCTCCCAAGGGCCAGTTCTAATACCCATGATCCAAATGAAATAGGATAAACCTCTTCACCAGGCCCTACAATCTATCTTGAACTTGTTTAGTTGCCCAATTACACTCAGAAAACTCAACTGGGCATGTGAAAATAGAAACAAAGACTTCTAATTTGTTATTGACGGCCTAGCTCTGCCAACAGGGCTGGCTTCAATCATAAGTCGTTGAACAGGTGTCTTCGTTTACTTCACATTTGTATCACCCCATTCAGGGCCTAATAGCAGATGCTCCACAGAAGGATGGGAGGAAAGGAAGGTAGAATGAATGGCAGCTGGATGAACAGATAAATGGCTGAAGGATGGATGGATGAGGTATAGGTAGAGGGAAGGTAAGACAGATGGAGGGGATTGTATACATTGTGTCCTTGTGAAGCCCTGAAGCCTCAGTCACCTTTGGTTGTGGAGGCTGGTGGAGTTCTGCATGAAGAGATGATCCAGGCTCCAGGTCCATTAGGCTTGTTGATACCAAAGGATGGTTGAGTGACCTCCATCCTCCCACTCCGATCATCCACTCCATTGGAACCGGGACAGTCGGGTCCACATTCTGGCCGTGCTTGTCTGACTCCCCTCTTTGGCGGAGTTCTCTTTCCTGTCTCTTCTTGTTAGGCCCCACTTGGCCTGCAGAGCTTCTCTGAAGACCCAGGTGGCCTGGGGTGATGAATGCCAGCTTGGAGTCCCATGGCCTGAGCTGGGGGATATCGGCAGCCTGTGAACACTGGCCCTCTGTGGACGTTGTGAATCATGTCAAATTTACAGAACCCGCCTCCAGGAAAGGCACTGATAAAGTGCCATTTCAAACATGAAAGGTGTAGATAATCAAAGGGCCACAGTGCACTTCTCCACATATTTCGGATGCCTGACTAGGAAGAGTTGAGCCAAAGGGCAGCACGGCTCTGTCACCCCTTCCTGTCTTCAACCTGGATGGCAGGGACCTGAGAAGTGTATAATTGTCGGCATTTACCCTTCACATGTTCCACTGTAGGCTGCTCTGTGACCTCCCCCCACAACCTGCCCAACCGGGGACTGCCTTCCTGCAGCAGTTGCCCTGCACCTTGGGTCTCCTGACCTTCCGTATGGAACTGAGCCCATCCTCTTTCCCAGGGCACGAGGAGAAGTCTGAGAATGCCGTGAAAGCCGAAACTTGCTGTGCCTCGTGCAAGGAGTTCCACCAGATGAAGCAGACGGTGCTGCAACTGAAGCAAAAGGTACGAGGGCAGGCGGGGGCCGTCTGGGGGAGAGGAGGGCTGGCCAGGTGAGGTGTGGGGGCCTGGGGTCAATGAGAAAGCGGATCACCCGCGCTGCACGTTCTCTGTGGTGGATGCCAGCTGGCTGTGGACTCGGAATGGTCCCACTGAAGCCACCAAGGGAACAATGCAACTCGAGGCGAAGAATCAAAGAGGTGATTAGACACTGGCAAGGTCCGTGGGCATGGCAAAGCTGTGGCACTTCTAAAAAGGAATGTCTGGACTCAGCCTGGGGTAGCCCTGGGTCGTTGTATCTTATGTGTGCTTCAGCAATATTATTTCTCTAAAGTTCTGTCAACTGACGACCTTCTGCAGCGGTTTTTCACTTTTGAAAAAGTATGGCCTGCCCTTCATCCAGCTCCTTGCACCTATGGAAGCAGGCCTTTGGGACCTCGTGTCACCAGGCATGAAGACTGACTTTATGAAGGGCTCCCTGAATGCTGGACAGGATACCAGGTCTCCAGCAGTGTCACGCTATGAGTAGGTCCCCGTGGCAGATCTGGTGATTTGACATCTTGCACACCTGTCCTGACCTAGGGAGTGCTAATTATACCTGAGATCAGCGTGCTGGTGTGTCAGCAACTCAAATTGCTTTTAAGCTGCTAAAACATAAACTGTTCTGTTTATTTAATTGCTTCCACTCAAGGCTCTTAGTAGATCAAAGAGGTGTGTATAATCTATTTAACTTTGGCAACCAGTTCTCCTAAAGGGCAAAAGGGCAATCATGAGAAAATCTTTTTTCCATGTTCGACAAACTTGCAACCAGCCACTTAATGAGAACCACAGCTACCAGTTAAACAAGCGAATCAACAGACTAAGTCGCTTTACGGTCTCTTAAACATTGTTGCTGAAGACGTCGTTGACCTTAGCAAAGGTACTCATATATAAATGTGTTGTATAATCATAAACAAGACATAGCTCCGACCCCCGAGGAGCTTGTGATCTGATAGGGAGATCAGGCAGCTCACCTTGTGTGTGCCAGTGTGGACCCAGGTGAATAACTAAATGCCACAGAGATCCCTGGGTGGAGTTTGCATTGACACTGGTATTCATCAAGGGGACTTAAAAGAGTGCGTGGAATAGCTACAGACGCATTTTGTAGGCTGGAGGATGGAGGCAGTTATCAGTGTCCCAGGCTTACCTTGCAAGGCACAAAGCCACCTTCACTTTCCTTCCCTGGAAATAATCCATGGGCTGTAGGGCAGTTCTTCCCAATAGAACAGCAGAGTTAAATATCACCAGTTCAGAACTTCAGGGGCAAAGTTTGGCTCTCCTTTCACCTCTTTACAGTGTATTGTAATCAATGAAAGAAGAGCTATTAAAAAGAAATTGAAAATGTGTGTCATGATACCTGCCACCCCCAAAGACCCTGCTGCATGCTGTATATAATCCACCAGGCTGTCTGATCTGCAGTACACCCATGCGGTTGGGTGGGCTGGCTGGCAAGAGGCCTTCCTCCTCCAAAGTCTCCCTACATATGCATGGTGACAGTTCTGAGAAACTGGATGCAGACCCTTGAGGAACATTATGAGGAGCAATTCATTTTTAAGGTACCTATTAGAATGTGTTGCATTATATAGTTTATAAAGAGCAGTTTTACATCCAGAATCTCATGTCATTATTTCTGTAACCCTGTGAGAAAGGTACTTGCATTCTCGGGGGTGAAGTAAGTGCCTGAGAGGCCAAACCTCACACCTAGGTCTTCTCACTTCTATTCCTGTGCTGGTGTTCGTACCATCAGTTGATTTTTCATATCAGCTGGCTGCTGCAAATGCCATCGGTTTTTGTTCACAAAAGAAATTGGGACAACTGCCCAAATAAACATTGGCCAAGAAGTGGTACCAGGTGTCCTGGTCTGTGGCCAGCCCCGCAGTATGAAGTGATGACACCTGTTGAATTGCACCACTGAGTGTGCAGTCAGCCTAATTCCACATGTGGGATGCTGCAGGTCAAATGCCCTGGGGCCTTCAACAATAAATTGTAAAGGACAGGGGAGGTGGCAACCTACCTACAGAACACAAGGGACTTAAAAGGCCTGCCGTTTTCTAAAGGTGAAGGGCTAAACCATAGCCTCTAGGCGTGGATGATAGATTATTTTCTAAAACACAGGAAGTAATATTAAAGTGAGGTTTGGTGTGGGAGAAAAGTGGTGCGGTTGACTTGAGTGTGTTTTGAAAGGCTGCTTGCTCTCCAATCATGTACTAGGATATGTATCTGGTTTTTGAGGTTTCTTGATTGTCTTATTTTTCAATGAAGTTTGTTTTTGTTAATGTGATGCAGACCCCAGTACCTCTACCCTTTCATTTTTTTTTCCTGTGGTATGGGAAGGAAACAGGTGATTTGGTGAGAAAAGGGATTCAGGGGAATAGATAAAATATCTGTTATTGAACTTCTGGATCAGTTTCGGTTCTGTTCCAGCACTGTGGAAAAACTAGATCCAACCAGCCTGGGGTTTGGGTTTTGTTTTTTTTTAAGCTATTTGTATCCCAGCTGCAGGGACAGTTTGAGACTGGGATGGCTACGGAGTCCCAGGGGAAGGAGACCTGAGAATGAGGGGCCAGTCTGGACACTGCAGGTTCCATGGTGGTCACTGGGGAGCAAGGGATCTCTTTAAACTAACAACCTTTCCTCTGAACCATTAGGGAAGAGTGAATCATGATTCTGGAAGTGTTTATGGAGCACCTCCTGTGCCCCACAGTGGTCTGGGAAATGAGGAACATAAAACAGTATGGAATTAAGTCCTGACTTAAATAAACATACTGTCCAATGTTACAAACAGGCCCACAGTGTAACTCAACCAATAATGGCCAAAGGCAGTGGGCTAAATGGTCAAGCTTGAGGAGTTAGGAGGTCCTGAGGTTTCAAAAGCCAGAAAACATGAATATGCTGCTCTGCCTGCTCCGTCTGGTGCTGCCTTTGATGTCCAGTGCATTTGCAGCTTCCTTGCCACCTTGATCTATTTATTATGTAGAATAAACATTAGGATTGGTGGGAAGACTAATCCCAATATTAACGTGGCTAGATTCCTTGGCCAAATATATTAACGTGGCTAGATTCCTTGGCCAAATATATTAACGTGGCTAGATTTCTTGGCCAAATATCATAGTAGCTAAGAGGCTGTTTGGGGCAATGGATAGGAACATAGATTCTGGGAGGCAAATGGCTGTTTTTCCTTCCCCATCACTTGATAACTGTGAGACCCTGAGTTAGCTGCTTAAGCTCTCTGTGCCTGAGCGCTATAAAAAGGGGATAAATCACAGCTGCTACACAGGATTTTTGTGATCAAATGAGTTAATATTTAAAAAGGACTTGGTGCCTACCACCTAGAAAGAGCCCTGTAAATCTGTACCAAATAAATAACTAACATTGGCATTCCTTAGAATTTTACAGGCAAGCTGGGCGTGGTGGTGCACGCCTATAATCCCTGCAGCTCAGGAGGCTGAAGCAGGAGGATCGTGAGTTCAAAGCCAGCCTCAGCAAAGTGAGGCGATAAACAACTCGGACCCTATCTCTTAAAAAAAAAAAAAAAAAAAAAAAAGGGGGGTGGGGGGGGGGCCGGGTGGGCGGCCCCCCCTTAATTCCACCCCTGGAAAAAAAAAAAAAAAAAAAAACCTTTTTGGGCAGCATCTCACCAAGTTGCGCCCAACAGCTCGGTGAGGTAGATCCTGTTATGAAGCTAATATGAGATGATAGTTTTACTGATTGGAATCCAGAGGAAACGGAGACTCTGCTTGCGTTGCTACATAATTCTTTCTGAACAACTTGGTCCAGCAAGCCCATCTGCTGAGTTTGTACAGATAGTTGCCTCTAACACCAGAACCTGCACCTCCCTGTGGTCTTGCTGATGCACAGAGGAACTGAAGGAACTGGAATGTGATTGCCCAGCAGGGTTCAGCCAGGCTGCTGGGGTCAACCTTTCCTTGCTCACCTCATCAGTCACCATAACAAAGTGCAAAGCCTCCTGAGAGGGGTGCTGCAGAGCAGCTCCCAAGTCTCATCCCCAGCCCTGCTTACAAAATTTTTAGTAGGAAGACGTGCTGGTTCAAAGGTCTAGTTTTGTAGACAAGAGAAAAGCCTAGAAGGGTTAAAAAAAATTATCTAAAGTCACACAGCTACTTAGAAATAGCCAGAAGCAAGCCCGGGCAGAGCATTTCCATTTTGTTAATGACAGTGACCAGACAGGGGCCCAGACACGTTAAAGGCATCAGCAGCTTAACCCTGGGGCACCCTTGTAGGTGGATGTGATAACCCCCTTTTTGATGGTGAGGAAATCGAAGTTCTGTGGCTTATCCCAAAACCTACAGATAGAGGCAGGGCTGAGATTACAATATGAGTCTGCCTAGTGCCAGAGGCCGCTGCCGGAATCTACATTTCAGTGTCTTAGTTGGAAGCAAATAACAAAATTGGACCTGCATTCAGTATCCGTGTGGGGCCCCCCATCCTGCAGTTGGAGACTTAGGATCTGTTGCTTGTCGGTTCACTCCAGAACCAGAAACACCCATTTGCAGGTTGGAGCCGACTGTTGCTGAGATACCATGACACCGGCACTGTTTTAAATAAACCCCAGATCACAGGCATGTCCTAGCAGGAACTCTGAACCATGAGCCCTGGCCTGAAATTTTGTGAAGATGACTTTCAGGTTGTACAAGATTGATTCCTACAGTTACTTCCACTGGATTCTGAATAATGATCATAGGGTAATTGAATGGGAGGCATCTCAGCTGAGTGCCCTCCTTACATAATGTAAGGGAACGCTAGGTCTTTTCAAAACGTGGAAGGCAGTGGGTAGGTAGTCCAGAGTCTCTTAGCTCACAGACTTACCTAGCTATCCATGCCCAAGGACAGGCTCCAAACTCCCTAGGAGTGTGTGCTCGGGAGCCCTAAGGATATCAAGGAGCCCATGGAAGACGGTTTTGATGACTTTGAGTTCCCTGTCCCCAGAGCACCCTTGCACTCTGAGCTAACTTCAGCCCTCTTGAAATGCAGGACCAGTCGTGCCTTAAATAGGTCAGCTGGGGAGGCCGGAGTGGGGATGGGCCCTGCTGACTCCAGGAGAGCCTGGCACCAGCTTTTGGGGGGGGGGGGGGAAGGGGAAGATGGGGCAGGAACTACCCTATCTGCCTTGTGGCTCTCTTCCTCGCCAGTAGTAGGGATGTCACCAAGACGTCCTTTTGAGCTTTCCTATGGCCTTGCCTTGTAAACAAAATCTCAAGTGCTTTGTCACAGGGATAATGGGGGTTTGTGAGACGAGGGCAGTCACCTTACGAAGGGGCTGGAGGAATTCATTTTCCTTGATGTGTCAGGTAAAAGTTGATGCCCAGGTGCAAACCATGTGACATAATGCTACCTCCTTTGTAGGATGTCAGATTTCTTTCATGGGCAAGAATACCTGTCTGTGACTAAGAATCATCATCAGCTCTAAGGCTGTTTCAGGGCCCCAAACCCAGCAGGAGAATGAGATTGTGGCCCAAAAGTTCTTCAGAACTGGGCTTCATAATGGGAGCATGGTGTACACTAGGGCCAAACCTCCCTGCTCAGAAACCAGAGACTGAAGACTTTCTGAAGCCAGATGAGAGCTTCCTGGGCTGCACCTGAACTTGACTTAGGGTCTGCAGTATCTTGGGAGGAGGAGGACATCTCTGAGGAAGGGAGAAGTGACGAGCCTCTGTAGTTCAAATCAGCGTTTAAGTTTCTTCGTCCCAAAGTCATACTGCAGAGTTGACGTACGTTCCAGAAGGAGAACCTGGCACAACTTTTAATTTAGTGCTTCTGCACTGGTGTTGATCCCCACTGGACACATTTTCACAGTGGCAGTCGGCCACCCCAATCATGCACTGGGATCAGGTTCCCCTCGAAATCTCACCCAAAGATGGGTTCAGAGCCTCAGAGCACGTCAGAGGTTATGGATGGGATCAGTTGTGTGCATACTTGAACCTGCATTTCCCTCTGAACAGAGGGTCTTCAAGCAGGGCCTTGTCTTGGAGGATGGATACAAATGCAAGATGCTTTGGAAAATGATGGAGATGCCCCATTTCTACAGAACTCTGGGATACAGAGAAGTGTTCTCCACTGGATCTTGCCTCTCTGGATTAGCTTCTTGGAGGAAGCACTGTGTTTCAGGTCTTGTGCTCCCGACATCCACTTCCTGACTTATCAGCCCTAGAGGTGGAGCTCTGTCCCCTGTTCCATTTGCCAGGGAAGAAATTAAATCTGTAGCCTTTGTTCTTAGCAAAGTTTTCATGGATCCACAGTGGACCCGACCTCAAGGAGCACAAAGGTCATTCATTCATGCAGTCCTCTGGCCTTTCCCAGACAGAATCATCAAAGACTGCAAGCAGCAAGGTGGATGTGGTGTCCTTGGGTCCCAGGCTGAGAATCCAAATGCTGTGCTTCTGTCACTCTTCAGTGAAAGGTTACCAAGAACAGGCCATGGTCAAAGGGGTGGGAGGTTAGTCTCTGCCTTTGAAAGAAAACCACAGCATTTGTGGGTACATTTTAAGTCACCACTTCCCACGTGTGCTGAAGGTCAGCCCTGAGTGTGTGGGTGAACCATCAGGTAAATTCTCGGTCCTGGCTCCCAGTGCTGAGTATTCTTTAGGGACACAGACCTTTGGAACCTATGAACTAAGCGTGGAGCCTGGCACATAGGAGATCAATAAAAGTTTGAGCCCACTAACAAAAGTTTGAAATCAATTAACAAATTGGAAGTATGAACCATGAAGGTTCTGGTCATTGAGGGGGAATGATGAGCACTAATCACATCTGTGCAATCGGGCGTGTATCTAGGTTCACCACTGACTAGCTGAGGGAGCCCATGCAAGCTGTTCACATGGAAGGCCCCTAGGCTGAGAAGGAATTCCTTCAGTCCCTATGAGTTTGAATTAGAAAACAATCCAGGGAAAGGCTTCACGGCCTCTGCACACAACCCAAGAGCTGGGAGTCTCTCTCAGTGGGGCTGCTGTTTTCTGACCTGGGTTTCCTCTTCTCTTTGCAGATTGCACTGCTCCCTAACAGTGCTGCTGAGCTGGGCAAATATATCACTGGTGACAAAGTGCTGGCCTCCAACGCCTACCTTCCAGGACCACCTGGCCTGCCTGGAGGCCAGGGCCCTCCCGGTGAGTGTGGAGAAGGGCCCAGGAGGCTGGTGGAATGGCCAGCAGAGGCCTCCCAAGAGCTCAGTTTAGATCATGTGTCACTGGGAAGCAGAATTGTGTCCAGGGAACTGCCACTAGCCTGTGTGAAGGGGTCCTCAGGAGATGGCCCGTCAGCCTGAGAAACCCTTAGAACTGATAGTCGTTTGGCAAGGAAGGGTGATTGTCTTGAGATTGGTTGAGATTCCTCAAGATCATTTTAGAAACAACTGAGGAAAAAATTTGAACTTTATTAAGGGAGAAAATTTAACATATGCAAGAATAGAATGGTCTAATCACTGTGGCCAGCTTCGTTTCTTCGTATCCCTTAGTTCTTTCACGTTCCTGTATTAATACATTTACATGTAAGTTTACTGTTATATCTATTTCTCCTTGGAAGTGGACTTTGATATATTCAATAAATAAAATGCACTCAAGTTATAACTGGGTGAGCTTTGCAAAACTTGGTTGCACCCTTGTACCAAGGCCCTGTCATTCCAGAAAGATCCCTTGAGTCCACTTGCGGTCAGTACACTCTCCAGATCAGGGTATCCACTGACCTGCTTTCCTCCAGTGTGGTTGGCCTGTTGTGGGACTGCGTGTCAGGAGAATCCTGGAGCTTATATTCTTTTTTTCTGGCTGCTTTCAGCATATAGTTTTGGAGGTTTGCCTTTATTCATTCAATAAAAATCCAAAATGTCCTCTCATTGCATCAGGAAAAATACAATGAAAACTTCAAAATAGTGTGTGTTATATTTTATGAGGCCATCCAGAGATCAATAGGGTTGTTTTTTTTTTTCCTTAGCAGTAAAGGAAACTTTATATTAGGAAATTACAGAACACAACAGACACTAGTATGGCAGTATGTAAAAAAGTGGATGTGTAACCGATGTGATTCTGCAATCTGTATACGGGGTAAAAATGGGAGTTCATAACCCACTTGAATCAAATGTATGAAATATGATATGTCAAGAACTATGTAATGTTTTGAACAACTAAAATATATATTTTTTAATTTTTATTATATTAGGTGTAGATGGACACCATACAATGCCTTTATTTTTATGTGGTGCTAAGGATCGAACCCAGGTCCCACCTGTGCTAGGCGAGCACTCTACCACTGAGCCACAATCCCAGCCCCTTAGGAAATTATTTAAACCATTATATCCCTGGTCATCATTGCTTAATAGGGTGCTTGGTGTTAGGACCTCCTGACATCCTAATCAGAAGGACAAGACACACACAGTGGGTGCAAACTGAATGAGTATCCACTTGCCAAGAAATAAGAACATGATGCTTCCTGCCATGGAAGTTCAAAGGAGAGATTACCATAGCTCAGAGCAATCTGGGGTTTGACCTGCACGCAGAAGGTGGGTAGAATTTGTCCAAGCCAAAGGAGCATGGGAAAGTTTTAAGTTGGAAAGTCAGCAAGAACCAGCTCAGTGTTATTCCAGAATTTTTTCTCTCTGCTTGGGTCTTGGTCTTCTGGTTTCTATCAGCGCTCTGGGTCTCCATCTGTGTAGAGCAGAACTGGCCCAGGACTTTGGTTTTTCATCTTGTTCATTCCTTCTGCCTGAGGTTCTCCAGGTCATGACAGAGTTTCCTCCAGATGCCTCACGCAGCAGCCTATTGTGCCCTAAGCAGACTTGGGGGGGGGGGGGTCTCCTTACAAACAGATTCCTTGCAGTGTTTCCCATCCCTCTATTAGAGAATGCTCCTGCTTGGCTTCCCGGGAAGAAGGTCATCCCAGGCCAGTGTACACAGCACTATGAGCGGACAGATTGGCTGGCAGTTTTCTTAATAAATGAGTTGCTAGCTCTCTTCTCCAGCTCTGCCATCTGGTTTCTAACATGTTTTGAGCTGTCCAGGGTCCTTGATGGAGCATGGGGTGATTGAGGATGAGTGGGCTTTCGCAGTAGACCAGGAGAACTGCATGGAGCTTTTACAGGGGGAATTGCCCACTCTTACTTCCAGTGTTTGTGATGCTCTTTATTGGGATGTGTTAGGGCAGCTGGGAAGCTAATAGGATTTCTCTAAGTGAAAGTCCATTCTATTTCCTGGAGCACCAACCCAGGGCAGCACCCTGGGTCAGAATCCTTTGGCTTTGGTAGTAAGGGGGTGGCCCCTTATGAAGTGCCAGTCACTTGTGCCAAAGGCTGAATTGTTGTTCAGGTTTTAGTTCTTGTTTTCAAACTAAAGCCAGAAATTCCTGGTTTTATATGAAATCTCAAAATTTTAAAATATTAGAAGCATTCATACATAATAACACATAGAAAAACATGGGTAGTGTGTGTGCATACATTATATACATAACACTACATATTCACACATTGCACCGAAGTATAATAGTGTGTGGTGAGGCAAGCAGATAATTCTCTTATAGTGAAAGAGTATTGATGTTTTTGGAGGTCAGTGGTATAACGAGTTTGAATTTTACACAAAGGGGAGTTGGTGTAGGGTTTTCTTCTCGGGCATCAGGGACACGTAGCCTGTTTGCTCTACCGTTTGAGGATGCTCTGTTTTGCTTTTTGCTTCCTCTGTTTCATTTCGGATCATTTCTGTTGATATAACTGAGTTTCCTGGTTCTTTTCTCAGCTATGACTGGCCTGCTAAGTCTATCCCAAAAAAGTTTCATCTTTAATATTGTGTTATTTCCATTTTACCATTTTTTCCTCTCGCTTCCATCTTCTCCACTGTCCTCTTTAACAGATAATCATTGTTATTTTAAAGTCCCTGATAATTCCAACATCTGGATCACCTCTGAGTCTAGCTCTGCTGATTGTTTTGTTGATTGACAGTGCTTGTTTTGCTTTTGCTTTTTAAACATGTGCCTCAATTATTGATTGAAGGCTGAACATAGTTTGTGGGGAGAGAGTAGAAAAAAGTAGAGACTGCTACATAGTAATTACGTCTTGTGACTGACACCCTCTTTTGTCTGGTTGCCAGTAGGGAGTTGAGTCAGTCTAACGAGCAATTGAGCTGATTTTTCGTTTTGTTGTCACTCGAGTTATCCTCCGTGTTTTGTCATACTCAAGCTATCCGGTCCCTCCTATGGTGGGATATTGTTCCCTTATGCTTAGTGGGGGCTAAGGATGCCAGTAGGTTGCTGTTTGTACTCCCCCGTCGGCAGCTCCTGCCCACTTCTCCACACCCTTCAGTGGGAGACCTCTGGGCTCAGTACCTTTCATGCTAGAGTTGTGGGAGGAGAGAACATCTTCAGTTCTCCAGGTCCATCTGTAATCCTAACCCTGACCTGTGCATCTGAGCCTAGAGGTGAGACGATCTTTGCCACACATCTCCAGTGTGCCTTGTATGGGAGCAAACCTTGCACAGGAAAGCACTTCCCACCCCTCAGGAGCAGGGGATGTCTGTCCAGGGCCCACAGGAGGGCAAGTTGGCTGCCTCACCTCAGTGGATTGAGGCTTTTGCACCAAAGGGTTGAAAATGGGAAGTTGCACAGTAGGAGTCTAGAAATAAAAGGCGTATAGAAGCATAAAGAATGGTTGAAGAGTATACAAGGCTGGTGGAAAGTAGAGGGAGCCTAGCTGTGAGGCAAGAGTTGAGACGAACATAAAAAGCCAAAGGCCCAACAGATGAGTTTTAATGCTCACTGTGCAGGAGACACGATGCGTAATAGTACGTACGTATCTAAAATCTTGTTAAATGAGATTTCTATGAGGAAGATTTCTTTAGAAATGAGAAACTGGGTTTCAAAGATCTCCAGCAACTTAAAGATTCAGTATAGGGCTCTCTGGCAAAACCTGTGCTTGCACTGACTGTCCAGAGGTGGTAGCCACTGCCCTACATGATGGAGAGGTTGGGAGCACAGACTGTTAGTGGGTAAATTGGGTAGCAGCAGGTCACTGATTTGGTAAGGAGGGTGTGGAAATGGGGTTATTCTAGGAAGACACTCAGTTTCTGGTGTGAGTGGACGGGTGACTGGTGGCCCATAAAAGAGGAAGGTAGGGAAGTCACTTTTGATCAGGTTGTTTAAAATTCCCAGGGGACAACTTAGTGGGCAGGCATTTTATGTCAGAAGGCAAAGAGAAATGGCTGAAGTCGGGGCTCCTGGACACACTCTGCAGCCAGAGCCCCATGTCGTCCTCTGAGGCTGAGCACTAATGAGCTGTTCTTTGATTGCAGGTTCACCAGGACCAAAGGGGAGCCCAGGCTTCCCAGGTATGCCGGGCCCTCCTGGGCAGCCCGGCCCCCGGGGCTCAATGGGACCCATGGGACCGTCTCCTGATCTGTCCCACATTAAGCAAGGCCGGAGGGGTCCTGTGGTCAGTATCTTATCAGAGATCCACTTAGTGCTAGGGAAAGGTGTCCCATACTCTTTCCTCCTGTTAAACCATGTCCTGTGTTTCTTAGGGTCCTCCGGGTGCACCAGGAAGAGACGGCTCTAAGGTAAGTTTTCTGAGTGGTCCTTACAAGCTGGAGCTCTGTTTCCACCTACTGCCCAGGCATCAAACAGCTCCACCAGCACCGTTTATCACCCCAGAGAGCAGATAGCAAAGTTGACACACAGGTGGACAAGTTGAGCATTCCAAACCCCAATTCCAAAACGCTGCAAAATAGGAAACTTCGTGAGCACTGACAGAAAGCTCCCAAAATCCTGGATTTGGGTATTAGATTTTCAGATTAAGAAAGTTTCAACCAGTAAAGTCTGTGCAAATATTCCAAAATCTGAAAAATTCCATAATGGGAAAGTCTTCTGATCCCAAGCATTTCAGATAAGGGATACTCCATCTGTACTTTGCCCCCAATGCTAGGAACAAAAAATAAGAAGCAGTTTTCTTAACATGTGGAACCAACCCTAAAATCAAGAACCACCACCACCACTCCTAAGAAAGATGACCTCTGTATTTCAGATGAGCCTCGCTTGTGATCATTACACATGTTTTCTCATTAACCAGTATTGTTTTGTACAATGGTTTTTTGTGGGTCCCCATTTCAACAACAGGAGTTCCTTTCTGGGTAGGTGGGTGGCTTCACTTTTGAGTTGTCACATAAAGAAGTGGCATGCATTACTGGAGTTTGCTGCTCCAGGCACTGCTTCCAAATACGGTTGTTCCTCTTGATCTGGTTTGAAAATATATGGCTCTGGGGGAAATCAGCATGAGTGATAATTGACCCAGGAAGTTCTATTCAAATAAATGATCCTGAGTCTGCTTCAATCATATGTTTGAAAGTTTCCTGTAGAAAATTTTTTTTTTTTTATGCAAGGAAACAATTATGGGTGAGGGGATCTAGGTAGTGTGGTGGCATCCGTGTGGTCCAGAATACTAATGCTGGCCTTTCTGTTTTTAGGGGGAGAGAGGAGCACCTGGGCCCAGAGGATCTCCAGTAAGTGGCACTTACTCTTTGTTCTGCTTCCCCAGTGAGTGTTCTCAGGGATGCAGCTCTTGTCTTAAAAGTCTGTAAGTAGGTCTTAGTAGCAAACTGTAACTGGCCCTAAGACTGACCAGGGCTCTGTGGTTAGGCCAGGAAGCCTTTAGCAGATGATTTGGATTTCTTTTTTAAATTTGCTTTCTGTTGTTACTTTTTCTTTTATTGTAGCTAATTTCCATATAGAATGTCTTCCTTTAAGCCCAGGATGTCATGAGTCTATGTTCAAGTATATTATAAAATATTTCAAGGGACTGGGATAGACATCCGTGGGCTATACTAACTTGGAACACTTGAGAATGTAGCCACTGCTGCAGTCATAGCAGGTTGAATGGCAGCCCCCTCCCAGAAGTGCAAAGACAGGGCTGTGCTTGAGACCTGAGAATAAATTAGACACATACGTGTACAGTGTCTGGAGGTTAAGTGTGAAGATCAGTAATATCCAAAAGTAGAGGAAATGTGTCGTTTCTGAAGAAAGACCAGGCACAGTGGCCACAGAAGTAGGTGGTCTGGGTCCCTTCTCTGCTCTCCTACGTGTTAGCATTCTGAACATAAGCATGTCACGTAGCATTGGGTGTTCATTCCCTCACCTGTGTGGTGCCAGTTAGTGGGGTTTGATCTGCCACATGCCAAGTGGTTATTTTGAGGGTCAGAGGGATACTGCAGTGTAAGGGTTGCCATTAAGCTGCTACCTGCAATCACAACTGCCATTGGGGTGGTGGTGAGTGGGGGGTAAACAACAATTTTACCTTTAAGCTTCCGATAGGTCCAGAATATACATGTTTATACACTTTTTTTTCTCTTGCCTTACCCACAACACTGCATGGAAATTAAGGCATAATGTTATAAAATGATAAAAATAGAAAAATTAGGAAGCTTTGTTTTGGTCTTTCCTGGTCAATGAGGAATTGGTATCTTTACAATATACTTTCAGCTTCATTTAGTTTGGAGTCATAGTCATAAAGATCTTAATGATTTCATGTTGAAAAAAATGAATAATGTCTAACAATTTTTGAAATTTTATTATGCATTAAGACCTTCATTAAGTCATTTAAATCTTTACCTATGAACCCCTGAAAACCTGTGAAATTGGGACAATTATTGTTCTTATTTTACGGATGGGGAATACAGAAACCCAAAGAAATCGAGTAATTTGCCCATGATCCCACAGGTTATGAGGGGCAGAGTTGGGATTCAAGCCCAACAGAAACCCAACCTCTTAATCATTATTCTCATACCTTCATGTATATTTCCCATATTTATTTGGAAAATTACCTAAGAAGGTTATTCTTACGTTCATTCATCTATCAGATTGGGTGTAGCCTAGAGTTAGGAGAGAGGAGAGATGAATATGTCACTAGCACTTATCAGTGAGATGGGGGATTAGAGGATAGTCCCCAGGGTCACAGGCTACCCTCAAAGTCTTTACACTTACTCCACTGGGGGAGCAGTTACCCACAGGTAGTTGCCAGCAAGCGACAGGACCAGCAGATCACGGAGCCACAGGGATCGCTGATCATGTCCATTTGTAAATTGCAACTGTGACTCCTTCCACCCGCACAGGGACCCCCAGGGTCTTTCGACTTCCTGCTGCTTATGCTGGCTGACATCCGCAATGACATCACTGAGCTGCAGGACAAGGTGTTCGGGCACCGGACTCACTCTTCAGCAGAGGAGTTCCCTTTACCTCAGGAGTTTTCCAGCTACCCAGAGAGCATGGACTTTGGCTCTGGAGATGACCATCCAAGGAGAACTGATGAAGCCAGAGACTTTCATCCATAGCACATCCCACAGCTTCACCCCAACGGAAGAGCAATGAAGGAAAAAACCACTGGAGACCTAGAAAGGATATTTTCATCTTCTTTACTCTTGCCCTGCTTTCTCCCTACTCTTCTTCAAACACTATTTTCAGAGTGCCCCACTGGACCTGCTAGAGACACAAGAAGAGATGGCTTTACATACTATTCAGTCAATCTGGTGGTCTACATTGGGACTTTTCTTTGAAATTTCAGGAACGTTTGGGTTTTCTGAGTTAACCTCTCCCCAACACCCTAAAATTGGGCAGAATGTTTAAGAGGGAAAACAGCAGGGTGAGCTTTAGAAAATGTGAGGCTAGTTTTTAAAAATTGTGTTCAAAATAGACTAGACCATTCTTCCTCCAGTATCAAAATTAGGACTCTTCATTCAAAAAGGGTGGAGAGGACATATAGATGTACCTTAGTGGATAATTCTTTTTCCCCATCATTCTAATAGATTTTATTCTATCCAGTTATTCAACCTCATTTCCCAAATTTGATTATAGAAAGAGAATTAAGGAGTAGAGATTAGGGAAGATAGAGAAGAATTACTACTCCTAGGTTGCCACACTTTAAAATTTAAATGATTGAGTACATGCCATGCTTATCTAGGAAAATCCTACTAGCAGAAAGTTATTTGACTGTAGGAATAAATCCTCTTTTCCAAAGACAATAAAATGCCCTGATTCACATTGGAACAGTGAGCTCTTGGTGCCAGAACATTTTAAGCTATTTGATCAGAAGTGTGGTCCAGCTCCATAAACCAGTTTGTTTATTAAATGAGGTGACCAGAGGCCTTCAGGTGCCGTTAGGCTGTGATCCAGGCTGATTCATTGTACAGTGGGGCTTGAAGCTGGAAGGTCGTCCCTGGTGTAGGTTGTTGGCAAAGGGACAGGGACCCCACTGAAGCCCCGTCGGCCAGTGCAGAAGGTAATGGGCTCCTCTTGGGCATTAGAAGTCCTTGCCTAGAACCAGCCAAGCTTGCTAACGTGCTGAGAGTCACTCTGTTGAGATGATGGGAAGGGGAAATAAATGGTTTTCCTTACTTGACAGAAATTTTCTTCCCGATATTCCTATTTTTCCTTAATTTTCCCTAATTGAGTCTAAATTGCGGTTCTTTCAGCCGCCTTGTATATTTTTCCTTAGGAATGTGGGAAGCAGTTTATAAAGAGGTACATTTCCCGGCTTCTTGTGAAGTTGTAGTGTTTTCAGAGCACTCTGGGTCCCAGGGGAAAGCAGGTTCCCACCAGGCTGTCTTTGGAGCCCTGGGCACCAGGAGCCATAGGCCAGCAGGAGGACCCGCTCCATCCCAACAGCACAGGGCCCCGTGTGGTGTCAGCAGGCAGCTTACAGGTTTCTGAAGATGGACTTTTCTCCTGGGACACACAGAATGGCTTCTTCGCTACCTATTCAGGAGAACTTCGCCCTTATGTTGACTTTCATGTGATCAGACTCACGTTTGTCCACATTGGGGTCTCTCACTTCCCATCCTGCTATGAACCCTTGCGTTCATTTCTGAGCAGTTTGTATTGTGATTTTGTCCATCTCTTCTCAGCCTACGACTCTTACCTCTGCTGTTGTGACACCTTGTTGGAAGACAGTCACTGTCGCTGGGTTTGTGTGCCGCTTTTCAGGTATCTTCCTGAAGAACGCTGGGAAGGGGCTCTGCCTGCAGATCTTGGGTAGCATTAGTCTTCTCTCTTCGCCACTGTTGGGCTGTGTTAAGAACTGGAATCCCCACAGTGGCTGCATCTTTTACAAACACTTGGCTATACTGTTTCTTAATCTGTCCAAATCCCATGACAGTCCACTAGCATTTTCAAGGTGCATTTTTCTATCTCTTCTGCCTTAAGTCTCTCTGACCCTCATCACAGAGAACCTCATCATTTAGGGGCTCATGAAGAGATCGACTGTCCTGCTATTGAGTCCCACCTGGGATACCTTTAAAGTTTGTTCAACTTTGTTTAAAGGATGCAGTTTAAGAATTTAAGAACCAATAAAACTACACACAGGTCCTTTTTTAAAAAAAATGAGGATTTGAGGGCTTGGAATGTAGTTCAGTGGTAGAGTACTTCATCTAGAATGCCTGGAGTTTAAGCCCAGCATTTTGTTACCTTTGCTGGTTTTTTGACAGCAAACTGTTTAGAAATGTAATCCTTATTGTCAAATGCTAATAAAATGCAGTGTTTGACCAGAGACAAGGATAATATATTTAAAAAAGAGCTGAAAATCGTAATGTCTGGGATTTGAGTATTCAGGATGATGATCTCCAGCAAAACACAATAGCCTATATTTTATAATCTTGATGGGCTAGACCAGATCAACTTAGAAAATCAATAATCCTCAACTTCAAAACTTGGGACACTATGAAACTATGTACTCTGTGCCCAAATTGTGTTTTTAAAGATAAGACTTCATTGTTATTTCTAATGTCTTTTAGGTATGGATTCTTAAAGTTTCACTGACTTCTCAAAGCCAAACAGAAAGGCCTTTTTTTTTTTAAAGGAGGTAAAAATTTGCCTGTTTTACTAAATTACTTCATTTTCCATGGGAGGAAGAGATCTTTGTACATTTCCTTGACCCAGAAGTGTTGCCATCAATTTTTTTTTTTTTTTTTTTTTTTTTTTTTTTTTTTTTGCGTCATAATTAAGGGCTTAGAATAGGGCTGTTTCATGTGTTCCCTACTTTTGGAAAACAATGGGAATTTTAAATATTGTAAACTAAAAGGCAAACCCTTGTAACTATTTTAAGGAAAACTCCCTCCCTAATTCCAGAGGGAGAAATGTTTTCTTATGCCAAAAAGGAGTGGGGTACAAGGAAATGCTGGCATTTCTTGCCTTCCGTGTCAATCTCAACACCTGCTAGAGTTAACTGACCAGAGTTGTGTCTATTGTCTCTGAAGCCTGACAGGTAAACAGATGTTGATTGGCATGGTGTGGGAGGAGGAAAGTCTAACCTGACCAGATACCACATGCAGAGCACCCTGGTTGCTCACCTTCCCTTTCCAAAGTTCATGACCACCTTGGCCCTGGGATAGCCACTGCCAGGCATGCAAGGAACAGCTAGACATGGCCAGGTCCCAGGCTTCTGTGTTCTCAGGTGGCCATTCTACATCGCATCTGGGGCGTCCCATCCCTCCACCTCCCCATTCCAGCTGCCCCATAGAGCCAGTCTAAGCAGCCTTATTCTACACACTGATCTTCCAGGCTCCCTTCCTGCAAAGGAAAGTTATTTGCAGAAATCTAGGCCAAACAATTGGTAGAATAAAGATGTCTAAAGTTATTTATCATAAATTCAGGGAAATGGATGAAATTTTTCCTGGCATAGTCAGCATGGATGTTTCACAACAAATCAAAATAGTTTTCCATTTGGAAAAGTGACCATGATTGTTAAAGCATAAAATCATGGGCTTTAGCTGATCATTCTACAAATGTTTCCACTTTAGAGAAATCATAGGAAAGTACCCGTTTACTACACATCCCTCAGGGATCTTGGAGGTATTTGTTAGATTACCAAATCAAGTACCCCGAGGGATCCCATGTGTGTTGTGAATTTGTTTTTATTTCCCAGTGACGAGTCACACATACTGCGGTAACCCTGTTCATTATTTATATCAGGTCATGTAACAAGCAAATATTCAACAGTTATGGATGTGATACTATGAAGTATTTTGTATGATTGTATATACTTAATAACAAAGTTATTTTTCTTATTTGGCTCTACTGTGTTTTGTCCTGAAACTCGGTCCTGTGAAAGGCGTCACTTTTACCAGATGAATACAGGAAGATGGAGAGGTGCATTGCTCAAGAGCTGGAATCTGAACTCTGGGCCTACCACTTCCTGGGGTCCTGGGTGTGGTCTGAAAGACCAGCTTCCACTGAATCTGGGTGTCAGAGGCCCGTTTCTCAGTGGTATGGATCATCTGGATTCCCCTGGGTGGGATTTTCAGAGCAACTCTCTGGGAAATCATTGGGGTGCCTTAGGAGTGCACTGGCGACAAACTCATCAGGGTTTACTGGAGAGTAACGCACACTCATGCATACAGCACTCATTAAGGTTTAAGAAATCTAAAATCTGAAGGGTAAGACAGGCTAGAGACCCAGGGATGAATTGATGCCATAGTTCAAGTCCAAAGATAGCCTGCTGGCAGAATTCCTTTTTTGTGGTGCTAAGGGATTGAACCCAAGACCTGGTGCATTGCAGGCAAACACTCTACCACTGAGCCACACCCCCTCCTCAGAATTTTCCCTTGAGGGAAGTCTGTCTACCAAGGCCTTCAACTGATTGGATTAGGTCCACCCACATTATGATGGGTGCTCTGTTAGTTGATTTAAAATATAAATCTTAGTGCTGTGGCTTGGTTGGTAGAGCGCTCGCATCGCATGTGCAAGGCTGTAGGTTCCATCCCCAGCACTGGGAAAAAAAAAAAAAAACCCACTAATATCTCAAACTCATTCACAGAAATACCTAGAAGATTTGACCCAATGTGTGAATACTGTGGTCTAGCCAGGTTGATGCCCAAAATTAACCATCACAATATATATTGGTATCTTTAAAAAATTGAGTGGAGTGATGGAGGTGGGGAGAAACCTCACCAACACAAGTAGAGACCTGAACAAAGGGGGAGGTGGGCCATGTTGTATTGGGAGAAAATGGTTCACACAGATGCTAGCAGAACACCCAGAGGGACCTGCTTGGTGTGCTCAAGGAGTGGCAGTGGGGTCAGTGTGACCAAAACAGATTGAAGGAAGGGAAGAATGTGCCTTGGAGATGCAGCCAGAGGATAGGTGAGCCTCGAGACCCTGGGTTAGAGCTTTGCATCTCCTAATGGACCCTGGAGGCTTTTCCAGAGGACAGGGATGGAGTCCCAGAAACCCCTTCAGAGACTCTGGAAGCAATGTACTTACTGTCCCTCTGAGAACTTGCTGCTTGTTTATCTGCTCCTTTACCAGACCCAGAGGCATTAGGAGTAGGTGCTTTGTTTAT